TTCTTTGATCCTTGTTTCGCCGCACTTCTCTCTCTTAGGGAATACTCGGAGCGTTGTTACTGATGTTACAGATGTCACTGGGATGCAGATGGATCACAAATGCATCATGACAATGTGCCTGCTCTAGAGATAGTAAAATACAAAACGCCTGCTTGTTTTTGGTGTTTTAAAAATGTTGGTCTCAGTGACCAACGCTGGGTTCCTTTGGAGGTCGGACAGGAGATTTATTTTCCTGTTGGCCCCTTAAATAGTTCTGGTGGTGATTATTGTTGCTATCCAAGAGGGGGAAATACATGTTTGCTTCAGTCTCAAGGTGTCTTTCTGTGCTGCTGTATACATTCCTTCTTTTATTTTTCATTTTTCATTTGCTTCTGTTTCTTTTCTTTGACATTGATGGGCATTTATCTGCCCTATTCCACATTTGTTTGTTTGTTTGTTCATTTATAAGATTTTTTGGCTGCACCATTACCAATGGTCTCTGAGTGGTGTACAACAATATTAAAACTTTAAAACCACATTAAAAACCATTAAAATAATACCCAATATTAAAACAGTCAATTTATCATTAATAAATCCTGTTGCTCATACAGCCAGCTAAAAGATGCTATTTAATTAAAATGTTGGCTAAACAGAAAGGTCTTCGAAAAGCCAAAAGTGTTGGAGCCAGGCGGATCTCTATAGGGAGGGCATTCCAAAGTTGGGGGGAAACAGCTGAGAAGGCCCTATTTCAACATGCCAATTCCTCTCACCTCTTTCAGGGATGGCACCTTCAGAAGGGCCTCCTGGCCTGATCTTAGAGGACGGGCAGGCTTGTGTGGAAGAAGGTGGTCCTTTAGGTCAGGGGTACCCAACCCCTTGTCCGCGAACCAGTGCCAGTCTGTGGGCTTCCTGGAACGTGGCCGCAGAGATGGATCTCCGCCCCCCTCCCACCCAGTGCCAGTCTGTGGGCTTCCTGGAACTTGGCCACAGAGATGGGTCTCCGCCCCCCCCCACGCATAGTGGGTGTGTCATGCTTGCGGAGGGGCATGTCGTACTCATGGGTGGGCGTGTCATGCTCACATGCATGTGCGTGGGCATGACACGCTCCTCCGCGAGCGTGACACGCCCACCCGCTAGCGCGGGGGTCCCCCACGCATGGAGCCTGCACCCCCCCAGCCAGTCCCGCGGTCCAAAAAAGTTTGGGGACTGCTGCTTTAGGTAACCAGGTCCTAATCATATTGCTGGCTGGATAGCTGGGTGAGTAGGGTAGCCTCAAGCTGGGAGTTCAGTTTCCCACTGCAGGGAAACTGTCCTCAGGCAGTCTGCGCAGTGCCAGAACATCCCAAGAAGAAGGGAGCAGTAGGGCATGTTCTGAAAAGACTCTATACCTAGAAAACACTATACATCAAGATGGATGTGATAGCATGTTGTTTTTCTTGGTCTTGTTGTTCCTTTTGTTGTTATTGTGCTCTACACATTTGAGTGTGATTTTTGAAAGCTCAGTGTCCTTTTCATTGTGGTTTCAGTCTCTTCCTGAATGTCTTCATCAGTTTAATAACCCCTGTCAAATATACAGTGGGGTCTTGATTTGAGAAATTAATCCGTATTGTAAGGCGGTTCTCAAGTCAAAAAGTTCTCAGGTCAAATCTGCATTTCCCATAGGAATGCATTGAAAACCATTTGATCCGTATCTGCTCTTTTCCGTCCATAGAAACTAATGGGAAGCTGCTATTCCGCCTTCGACCACGAGAGGGGGATATTTTGTTTCTTTTTTTTCTTAGGTCAAGAAAGGTTCAGGGAAGGCAGGGAAAATACAGTCCAGGCAGGACAGTACCAGGCAGTCCGAAGACTGTCTCCCAATCCACTCTCTAAATGCTGGGAGGAGTGAAGAAGCAGACAGGCCCCCTTTTCACTGGCCAACAGTTAACTGAAAGTTCAAATTTTGCACTTTCCCTGCCTCCCACGTGGTTATTTTTCAGTTCGTAACTCAAATCTAAGTACTTAAGTCAAGTCAATATTTTCCTATGAGAGTGGTTCTTAAGTCAAAATGTTCTTAACTCGAGCCGTTCTTAAGTCAAGACCCCACTGTATGTTCTTTCTGAAAATACTGCAGTGAGTTTTTCATTTTTAAATACTTACCTGCTTGATTGATGCCCTGCACTCTCTGTTGGTTTTCCTCCAGCTTCCCCATGTCTGATGCCCTCCAGTGGCCATGCAGATTGGGGAGGACGGGAATTGTGATCCCCTACACTACAGTACACCTACTTTATCCTCTGAAAAAACACTGAGGTATCTGCTCTTAAAGAGTGCAGCTCATCTCATTCCTCCTTTTGGTAGGAGCACGTTTCTCCTCGTCTTTTCTTTTCGCACTGTCTTCCTTCCCTTTATTACAGTCAGTTCAAAATTGTGCTTCTTTCTTCTTAAAAACTTGTATAGCATTATTCTTGTTTTAATATTCTTTCTTATCACTGTATGTATTCTAGAACACTGCATCCTTGGGGTACCCAGTTCTTGATTAGGCAAAAGATTGGATCTTTGCCTGGAATCCACTTTGTCACAATGTAATCTAAAGTTATGTAGGTGGAACTCTGATAGGTGCTGTACCTGAGCAACTCAGATTGCACTGTTCCAGGATGCAGTTGATTCCTGGGTCCTGTAAAAACCAATTGTGCCGTGTGCTGGCGGAAGAAGATAGCATAGATAGCACTTCTGCCTTGGTGTTGTAGCTACTGTGGGCGTAACATCAGGAAACAAGGCAACAGGGGTTCAGCCAATGCATCTTGTACCTCCATCAGCTTTGTTTGGCAGTACCTTGACGTTTGGAGGTTCTTTCCTCCTCATATTTGTTTAAATCAGTCCCATCACTCTCTAGGAGTCATGAAACCATCCCTCTTCCAAAATTGTCTTTTAATTCCTTGAAATTTCAACATAGGGCTAAATTACGTGCTGGATTAAATACACTTTTGCAGCTGTCCTAAAGCGTTTTTGTTTTGAAAATGCCTATTGTATCATTCAGTGCATGGGGGAATTTGATGCATATCAAGGCTTCAGTAGGTATAGAAGAGAATTTAAGTATTTTCCTCCCTTGCTGGCACCCTGAAGAAAATCTCTCTTCTCAGCTGGTATTTGCTTTGTGGAACAATCTCCCATTGGCACCAATGAGAAATAAAATAAAATGAATACATACATACAATATTCTCAAAGGGGGAAAATATACTATATGTATGTTATAGTATATAGTCTGTGTGTGCGTGTGTGCACATACATACATACATACATACATACATACATACATACATACATACATACATACATACATACATACATACATACATACATACATACATACATACATACATACATACATACATACATACATACATACATACATACAAACAATATTCTCCCAGGGAAAAAACAGCAACTTTGGAAGAGATTTCTCTCTGGATACCAGCAAGGGAAGAAGGGGTTAATTTTACCCTCCAGATCCACTCTCCACATTTCCTGCTATTTCAGATGATGCACCTTGATTTTCAGAAGCCTGCAAGGTAGACCGGCTAGTGTGACCCTCAGTGATTCTCTTTGTCCACTGTCTTTTCATACCTCTCTTCTCTTTTCTTTGCTCTTTTGAATCTGTTTATTTTGTTTGTGAGCCTGTAAGCAGGATGATCCCCTTCGTAGCAAATGTTGAGTGGTTAAGAAATAGACATCACAATTATTGTTGTTATTACAGCACCAGATAAAATGCTTCCCAAATATCCATAGGTTTGTTTGACACAGTAACTCAGATAGAGGTCAGGAAGAATCAGCTTGGAAGTACAGTAGACTTTTACACTTTGGTAACTCTGTTATAAGTGAAAACAAACAGAATTATATTTGAGTACAAGATCTCAGAAGGCATTCCCAAGGAACTGTTGGAGTTACATACCCATTAACAGTGGACAAATGATTGTAATTGAGCAGTGAAGAAAACAAACACCTCTGTGACTGGGTGATATTTATGGACTGAAGGCTATGGTTGTGATGCATGAATGGAATATTATTGTGTATCTATCTAACAGTTTACACTTTGAAATAAATAAATGAATGAATGTAACTTTTGGTTGTTGTGGGTTTTTCAGGCTCTTTGGCCGTGTTCTGAAGGTTGTTCTTCCTAACATTTCGCCAGTCTCTGTGGCCGGCACCTTCAGAGAATGCAAAGATGCCGGCCACAGAGACTGGCGAAATGTTAGGAAGAACAACCTTCAGAACACGGCCAAAGAGCCAGAAAAACCCACAACAGCTATTAGATACCGTGAAAGCCTTCGCAAATGTAACTTTGTCTCTCTAGCTTGATAAACCTTTATGCCTATGGTTTATACCCAGTGGTGGCTTGCCTACCAGTAGAACTGACATTGCTGGTGGAATCCATTCTGCCTTTTCTATAGCCGCACCTCCTCAGCTGGCGCAAGAGTGGATTTTGGTTGTTTGAGGTGAGATTTAGCCTGGGGTGAATATCTGAAAAGAATTTCATTCAGTTGAAAAAGAAATGAAAATATAATTAAAGGTGTTTATAGTTGGTGCCTGCTTTTGTTCAGTTGAGCATGATCTTATGAGTGGAATCCTTTGTTCAGTGTGCTTAAAGACAGTATATGGCCTTGTCTGAGGGGGCCAGATAGAGAAACCTGAATCGAGATGTCTTTTTGTATTTGTAGAAAGGAAACTGGGATTGCGATGTCTGGTGCAATAACTTGGTAGGATTTCAGTACTGACATGCCTTACACAATGAGTATGCTGTGCTGGTAATATTGAAGCATAGCTATGAAGGCGGCATCTCCTGTTTCCTTGTCTGTTTAAACATTTTACAGCATGCAGACAGCCATGGATTATGTATGTGGCAGACTCTAAAATTTTGCGTATGGGTTGAGCATTCTGGAGGTTCAAATGTAAAGAGTTCTGCATTCAGACAATGACCAGTGCTCATTTGTGCTTCTTTATTTTCTGCATTAATCCATTTCCCCCCTGTTGTTTTGTTTCTATAGCTGCAGAACCTTGGCCTCAAAATGCTACACTTTATCAGCCGCTGAAAGGTGAGTATTTTATTTTTTGCGATTAACTGTGTGCTTTTCTTCATTAAATATGCAGCAGCATAATTAACAGGAGCTAGGCAGAAGAGGAAAAGGGGGGGGAGACCTTGTTAAAAAGAGAATCCTTTGTGGTGGTGTCTGGTCAGAGGGCTTTGTTTTGTGTTTTTGTGCATTAAACTTGTATCTGCCAATATAAAGCAGCTATTCATGGCCTATAAGGTCCTTGGTTTATTATTGACTCATTATATTGGCTGCTGTAGGCAGTGTAAAATGATGTGGTTTGCAGGCCCAGTTGGCAGATTTACTGCACCAATAGCTGAGGCAGCAGATTTTTGAAGTCTTGTGGTAAAATGGGCTCTTGGTAAAAAGGGAACTGTTAAAATGTATAGGCTAGGATGGTTCAGGCTCCCTTTAGCAGCTCTTCATATATCATCAGATCACATTATAGCCCCCATTTGGGGCTCAGCAGCCTGCTACAGTTGTCAGAAGGCTGCAAAGTAATGAAGACTAATAGGTAGCAGCCCTAGTCTTCTAAGCATGGAATTTTTATTGCTGTGTACTTGTCATCTTTCTTTTATGTGACAGACCTAGACACAGTGTGCAATATTAACTGCAAGCTGGATTCTTTTATAGGCTCCTGAATGCTCTTACTTTTTTAGCAAGAGGAATTATGAAGTTGTTGGTTTTTACAAAAATTTCTATTAGGAAATGAATAATTGTCCTTCTATGGATTTATTCTTTTTTAAGAAAGAAAAGGCCTAAGGCACATGCTTTTCTTGTTTTTTTTTTTGTTTTTTTTTGTTACGGTTGGACACAGTACGATAAATTGTAGAGCTTATCTAGGAGAAGTATTTCCGAGACTTCGAGCTGTAAGCTTTTTAAAAACTGCATTAATGTAATGGGGCATGTGATTCGTATTAAAGTAGTTTGTCTCCTTATGTTTGTACACCATTTATTTTTGCAACCCAAATGAGGTGCAATTATCTGTAGAAAGGGAAAAAAGCTTCTATTTCAAATAATTATCCTGCACTTATTTTCTTTTTATTTTACAGAGGAACAAATTTTACTTTCTGATAATGCTGCCTGTCTTGCTGTTCAGGTAAAACACATCATTTTTCCTATTTAGAAGTATAGGATGTGGCCTTATACTAACTCAGATCTTTGAACCATGCTTGGCACTGACTAGCAGCATGTCTTAGAGTGTTAGAGAGGCTCTTTCCCAGCACTGTCTCATGTTGTCAAGGATCGATCAGGAGACCTTCTGCCTGTAAAACAGGTGCTATTCCACAGCTGAAGACTCCCTTCCCGTGATTTAGTGCATCCTGTTTTTTAAAAACCATTCTGAACACTTAAGCGGTCTGAGTGGGGATCCAGCACTGTTTTTATCATTGCACAAGAGTGCATTGATGTTATTATGCAACAGAGCAAATCAGTATTTTACAAGTCAATTCTAAAAATGAGGTCAGCCTAAACAAAAAAGTATAACTTTGAAACTGGACTTTGAATCAGCACCAGATTTGGCACAGATGAATCAGACAATCTGCTCTTGATCTGTGCTAAATGTGTGTGTGTGTGTAGGGAAAAGGGTTTTTGGGTTATGATTTTCTAAATGTAAAACTATTCCTCTTCATGCAGAAACAAGCCACACAAAATGTCCCCAGATTTAAAACAGATCAGATAAATTGAAAAGACCACCCACTTTTTATTTGGAAGGAATACAGGTTCCAGGGCCTTTCAAATGAGTAAAACAGCGATTTAATTATGCACAGAGAATGTACAGTCTACCCTCCACTTACAAAAGGCCCTAGTTACAAACATTTTGATTTACAAATTGCTCTGATAGAAAAATATTGACTTGGCTTGCAAACTTAAATTCGAGTTATGAACCAAAAAAAAACCCCCATGGGAGGCAGGGAAAGCATGAAATTTGAACTTTTAGTTAACCGTTGGCCAGTGAAGGGGGTGCCTGTCTGCTTCCTCACTCCTCCCAGCATTTAGAGAGTGGATTGGGAGACAGTCTTCAGACTGCCTGGTACTGCCTGGTATTGCCTGTTACAGTGCTGTACGGACTGTATTTTTATTTTTTTGCTTTTTTAAAATTTTTGATTTCTGGATTTTTAAGAGATGTTCCCTCCCTCCTTTGCTGCCCCCTTGCCCCCCAAAAGGTGCTTGTATTGGCTTGTCTTGATTGCAAAGGTGATTTTCAAGGGGATGTGTTGTCTGAAAGGTGCTTGGTTTTCCCAGAACGGATTAATTGGTTTTCAGTGCATTCCTATGGGAAACGCTGATTCGACTTATGAACTGTTTGACTTACAAACTTCCTTCCGGAACGGATTAAGTTTGTAAGTCGAGGGTTGACTGTATGGAACAGGTTTACCAGCCAGAGGATTTCAAAGTAGATAAATTGTTGCAGCTTCATGAGCCAGAAAGGAAGATGTTTGGAGGACAATGAAAGGTCACAGAAACAGCCAAAAGAGAAGTTCTCTTTGAAAAGTTAAAAAAAAACCAGCCTTGTTTTAAAGTAATAGAGGGATAATCCTCCAGAAAGGGGAACATTTTGACATGTATCTCCAGGGAATTAGCATACAATCTTGTAAGGCACATTCGAAGTATGTTTGTGTTACAAAAGCACAAAGCAGTTGTGTTTGCCCTGAGTGCTTTCAGTAAACATTCTTGCAGAATTTCTCAAACCAGACTCCTGACAAGGCTTCAAAGATGAAATGCTCCAGGTCTGGAGCAATCTGATCTTTTGACCCTGTCAGTCATGGCCCAATTAGCTTACTTGCAGGAGGAGAACTTTTAAAATCCTTCCTGGCCAAACAGGCATTTGGACTTACAAAGGGATTCTGTGTCTGATTGTAAAAATATTTTAAAAGATATTTTAAAGAGAATATAGAACAAATATTCAGAATTGTTTAAGTTGTGAAATTACTGTTTTTTGCTTTGTGGTTGGGGGATGGCCTTAATCAATATCCATAGAGCTTTGGTCCTTATATCCTGTCATAATTTCAGCTGTTTTACCTGTCTTGTCGTTATTCAGTTGTTTGGTAAATAAGAAAAAAATCTCCAAAGATATTATGTGCTAACAATTTATTTCTGATGTGTGGTGACTGTATGAGTTACTTACAAAATGCCCCGTCATTAACAGCTCTGCTCAGATCTTGCAAACCAACAGCAACTCACATTACATTGTTCTGTCTTCCATCTGCTCCCCCTTCCTGTCAGTATTGTCTTTTCCAGTAAGTTCTGCTCAAGTCCTGTACACTAACAGCTGTGGATTCCTTTATTGAGTCAACCAATCTCATGTTATGTTGTTCTTTCTTCCTTCTTCCCCCCCCCTTTCCCAGCAATATTTTTTTTCTGGTCAGTTCTGTATTTTTATTATATATGCATGGCAGGACAGCCTCATTTTACTAATTTTTGCTCTAGTTCAGGCTTGATTGAGTACCCACTTTTTTGCCTTTCTGGCTGCCTATGGTATCTATATGGCTCTCCTCCAACACTAATTTCAGATGAGTTGATTTTTGTCCCTGTCTTTCTTCACTGGCTTTCTTTCACATTGTATGGATGATTTTGATCTTGGTTTCCAGTGAAAATGTTTTCTAACTCTCACCTTAACCCCCCTTTCTTAAATTTCAAAAGGCAAAGGGACATCTTATGGAAAACATGCACACAACATATTTGTAGAACTTTTGGTACAATATAGATTTTCTTCCTCAGGTTGCCTGCCACAAGGAAAGGGTTTGGAAATTGGTACATAGCTTTCTAGTCTGCCTTCTTTAGAGTGAGTATGGCAACATTAGTTTAAACGAGAGGTTAAAACGTATTTATGTTTCTCCACTGTATGTGCTGTACCTACTCCCATCTTTCCTTTGCCATTTTATTAAGTCCAAAACATCCCTTCACAATATCCTGGCACAGAGGGAGACTTACAGCCACATCCCAGCTGCTCTTACTTCTGTCCTCTCCCAGCAACCATAGGACGGGTCATGGGCTCATTTTCTGGCATCCTCTAGCACTGGGTAATTCTACATGAAGGGATTCTGTTGGAATTTGTGTGTAGCGTATGTATACTTAAACTCCCGTTTTAAAAAGGTGGGAAATTCATTTCTTGGTGTTGTCAACATTCAAGCTGCTCTTTACTGTGCAAAGCTTGGTATCCCTTTACTTGCTAGCAATACAGGCATCATAACGTGCAGCATTATTGAGCCATTTCCTGGCATTTTGAACTGTGAATACAGAAACACAATATCCCATGTTCATAAACCAGGGGATTTTTTTGAATTGTCCTCATAGGAGAATTTAAGTCAACAGAACGGGAAGGCTGGTGATACTCTCCCCTTGCATGCCCTCAGACTTACTCCAGAGAGCAGGGAAATTAGCTGGAACAGGGTTTCCAGTATTACAGAGCACTGTAGGATGGAACAAGAAAGAAAACCTCTGCAACAGTAAGAAATGCCCACTACCATGAGTTTGGATTTAAGCCATGTAGTGGAACTGTCAATAAAAATGCATACAATGGTGCCTCGCATTACGAGCGCTCCGTTTGATGAAGAAATCGCATCACGACGAAGATTTTGTGATCGCAAAAGCGATGGCAAAACGATGTTCCCTATGAGGGAATTTCGCTTTGCGATGATCGGTCCCCTGTTTCGCTAACCGATTATTGCAAAGTGATGATTTTCGGCCAGCTGATCGGCAGTTTCAAAATGACCGCCGGGTGAAAAACATGGCTGCCCGCTGTTTTCTGGCAGAGATTCCTTGCTGCACGGGCAGCGAAAATGGCCGCGCTATGGAGAATCTTTGCTGGATAGTGAGTTTTAAGCCCCTAGGGAAGCATTAATTGGGTTTTAATGTGTTTCTATGGGCTTTTTAAAATCGCATGACGACGTTTTCGTTCGACAGCGATTTTTTCAGAACGAATTAACACTGTCATGCGAGGCACTACTGTACTGTTGTTTTCTACGTTCACGGCTCTTTGATGCTTTTAAAGTTGCAGGTAGCTTAGAGTAAGTGGCACAGTCGGAAGAAGTGTCAGGACTGTGCAGAAGCACCCTATGAAGATTCCCACATCCTTAGTCATCAGTATAATGAAAAAATTTTAAAGCAAGCATTTCTTTTTTCTTCAAGGGAAGATTTAGTTTATTTCAGTTCTGTTGTTCTACACATGTCACAGAGATGATAAATTAAGCATATTATATTAAAAAAACCTTTTTCTTCAATATTGTTTGGTCTGACAGCTGATAGTAACCATGACTATAGAAATTATTTCAACAGATATCTGATTTTAAACTTCAAGGAACAATTTTCTTTGATGTAAGGTCATGGTATCATTTAAAAAGAATGTGTAATAAGAAAAATACCAGTGAGTTCTTTAAAATAAAAAAGAGACTTATTTTCTCGGAGATACATTGTTCCATTCTATAAAGTTGACAATACCAATGTTTAAGCAGTACATCGTAAAACAGCAGTTCTGTAGTGATGAAGAAATTTTTGTACTTTAGGTAATGATAATTCACAAACTGGTATCATATTGATTGGACTGCTTACTGTAGCACAGTTTGTTTTACCTGAGGAAAACTGTTGGTAGGATCTTTCAGAAGTCATTAATTTGTAGAGTTGCCATGAAGTTGGAAATGACTTGGTGGTACACATTTACAACACTTTAATGTTGTAACTGGGCTACTCTTGAAGACAATTCTGGTACAGAATGCAGCAGCCAAGATTATAATTGGGTTAGGTCACTGGGAATCTTATCTCAGCAGTTTTTGAGGGAGCGTGTTTACTGTCTGTTGGTTGTTTCCAAGTCCAAATCAAGGCATTGTTTGTGACCCTTTATGGCTTGGGGACCGACCCAGGTACCTTAGGGACTACCACTTGCTTGGTCAATCTATTTTAATATTAAGATCTTCTCTTTTAAAAATTTATTTCTTGGAGTGTGCCTACCATCAACAGTGGGCACATGAGCAAGAGGGTCTTTTCATTTGTAGAAAATTTTCACCAAACAAAATTTGTTGGCAGTCCACTGTATTATTATTTAAGTGCAAGGTTAAAACCTCTTCTATTCTCAGTTTTTAAGGATTTTGTATTTTAAGCATT